GTTATGGCTTTATTATCGTTTCGGCGTAGAAGCTAAATTCACCTTAAAAAGAGCCCTTTCCGTCGTAGCCGCGAGCGTGCTACATACTTACGTACGATCTCTTTTTCCGATCTTCTTTCTTCTTTCTCTCTCTCTCTCTCTCTCTCTCTCTCTCTCTCTCTCTTTCTCTCTCTCTCTCTCTCTCTCTCTCTCTCTCTCTCTCTCTCTCTCTCTCTCTGTCTGTCTGTCTCTCTCTCTCTCTCTCTCTCTCTCTCTCTGTCTGTCTGTCTCTCTCTCTCTCTCGGTCGCTTTTCTCCCTAAAGGAAGAAGACCGGCGTGACTGCAAAGAATCAGGGACCCGTTTGTGTGATTAATGGCACGTTACAGGGATATACCACTTATAGTAATGTAAACGAATATACCAAATGTACGAACAAATTATTGTTTTCTTTTCTTTTTTTTTTTTTTTTTGCCGTTTCTCTTTTCTCTCCTCTTGAAATAAACGTTTCTATGGATAGATTTATATAAAAAAAAAAAAAAAAAAAAAAAAGGAAGAACAATAACACCTAATCGCTAATCAAACGAAATTTAAACGAGGAAGGTAAAAGAAGATATGTAAGAGAAAAAAAGAAATTATAGGATAAAGAAAATCGATAAAGTGTGATGATTACACGCGTACGAAGATACGACATCGAACAACGTGAAAAAGGATTAAAAGTGTGTAGTATTAAAACAAAAAAAAAAAAAAGAGAAAATTGCGAAATTGTTAAATCGAACAAATTTCACGAGTGAAAGAAAAAAAAAAAAGAACGAAAAAAGCAACTTAATCCATTTTTCGAAACTTTTCCAGACTAATCTCTTTCTTCCATTCTCCACCTTCATCCCTCCCCCCTCCCTATCCCTTCTTACTTCCTCCTCTTACTCCCACCCCCTATATCCTATCGATTGTGTAATATTACGTGAAGTTTGATTCGTAAGAAATTACAAGTGACGAGTATCAAATGATTTTTCGAAATTACTTGAATACATTTCATAAGTTTGATTTAGAAACTCTCATAATTGAAGGAGAATTTCTGATTTTTAGTACGTTTTTTTATTTTTTTTTTAAATTTAATAATCTCTCTCTCTCTCTCTCTCTCTCCCCCTATTTATCTATCTAGCTCGCTTACTGTCGTTCTCATTTCGAAAGAGAGAAGAAAACAAACGTGTGATTTGGGATATATAAATCGTAATGCGATTATAATTTGTTCGTACCGTTTGCGACTCAAATCCATCGTTAAGTTAACTCGGCACGGCTCTTTGGAACTCGTTTTGGCTCGTTCCGACGCTTTGTCGACGTGTTGTCACCAATTGTCGCGATCTGCGCCCCACGAGTTTACACACAACAGGGTGACGTGCAGTTTATGCGATTTCATTGCCTCTCTCTCTCTCTCTCTTTCTCTCTCTGTCTCTCTTTCTCTCTCTCTATCGTGGCCGGTTCTTTTTCCCTTCCATGTAGAGGCACATGGTAGGAGAGACACATTTCCTTCCCTCAGAGTACAGAAGAGGTCCCGTACAGTCGTACATCATTGCACTTTCGGCATCCCTTCTTCTTCTTCTTCTTCTTCTTCTCCTCCTCCTCCTCCTCTTCTTCCCCGTACCACACATACCCCATACTCCCCACACACCCTCCAATAGTCCCATAGCACATTTTCAACGTGCACCCTACTTCAGCCCTCTTCTGCGGTGAGAAACGCTATTGTACGAACCTAAAGTCAAATCTGTATGTCGTTTTCGTTGCGACGACGGCGATGACTCTATTATCGTTCACTCAAACGAACGAACGAACGAACGAACGAACGAACGAACGAACGAACGAACGAATGGATGAATGAATGGTTGTGGATGGTTGGTTGGATGATTGGATGGATAGATGTATTAAACTGGTTAATTGGAAATAACCTTTATTTTATAAATAAATAAATAAATAAATAAATAAATAAATAAATAAATAAATAAATAAATAAATAAATATTTATATATGTATATATTTTTTTTCTTTTTTTTTTTTTTTTGATATGTTGATATAATATGTAGTTATATTTTTAATAATATAATTTATGATATTATCATGAACGTAGATATTCTATTTTCTCCACTTCAATAAATATTTATCAATATATGAGTTGTTGTTTTTAAAGTTGTTGATTTTGTGAAAGAAACAAATTATTAATGATTAATTCTTATTATTGATTAATATAAAATTTATATTTTTTTATTTATGTTTTCTGGTAATAACATAAAATGAATCTGCCCCTACTTTTAATATCAACGACTCATATATATATATATATATATATATGTGTATGTATTTTAAAGAAAGATAGAAAGAGGAACATTTCGTACGTTAGAAAAAAAAACCAAACAAACAAACAAAAAAGAACAAAAAAAAAGTAGAAGAGAAATAAAAAGAAATAAATTCTTATATATATATATACACACACACACACACACACACACATATATATATATATATACATATGTACGAGTGAAATCTCTTTTACAAGGTGATGGTGATGGTGTGATGGTGATGGTGATGGTGATGGTGGGATAGAGTGGTGGTACGGTTTTCTTCCATCTTTTACGGGGTCAAAGCCGCAAACAAGCGCGTACAATAAGGGACACGCATCTCGATTGTCACGTTACAATAACTTAGACACAATACGGGCAACAATTGTATCCATCAATGTCGGCATCCCGACACACCGCATTCGTGGCCTAGTGTGTAAATTAGTCCTAGGAGGAAGGATCGCGTGACGCATCCTGTGGGACGATCTCGCATGTCATTCCCAGTTAGGAATACAATGCCATCAGTATTTCTCTTCGCGAGAGAACTAAAACTTGTGGAATCTGTTTGGTCCATGGCCCAAATCTAACTATATTATCTAACGTCTTAAATTCTTTTATCTTAAACATCATCATCATCATCATCATCATCGTCGTCGTCGTTGTAGTCATTATTGATGACAACGAAGAGAAATAATTCGTTCGTTTTATTTAATTTAATTTAGTTTTTATTATTTTCTTTCTTTTCTTTTCTTTTGTTCTTGTTCTTTCTTTCTTTTTTTCTCCCTTTTCTTTTTTTGATCGTAATCGTGAGATTTTAAAAAGAAAAAAAAAAAAGAAAAATATAAAAGTCATAGATTTATAACGAGAACCACTGATCGTACCTGTCTGTAATATTAATTTCAATTAATGCTTATTTATATAAATTGATTTCTTATAATAAAAGATTATGATAATATTAATTTTCATTTAGTCAATTATAATACTAATCAACCCTACATATATATATATACATATATTATTTCATTTAAAATCGAATAACATTCTCGTTGTCCTGCTTTAATTAAATTTTTTGTATAGGTAAAGTCTTCTTCCTAAAAGTAATTTTTGTAATCATTAATTTTAATGAAAATTCGATTCTGATAGTACTAGATATAGTAATTCTGATAGTAGTAGATAACGCGTATCTATATTATTTCTCGATTATCTTAATTTTCTCTCTCTCTCTCCCTCTCTTTCTCTATTTGTTCTTTTCTTCATTAGTGTAAAGATTTTTCTTTTTTTTTGTTAAATTTTTTGTTTTTCATTCGATGATATTTTGAAGGAAACCCGTTATTAAAATACAACGAAGATTTTGTTTCTATTTAAATTTCGTATATATTTGATTTGATCGAATTTTTCGAAAAAATTTTTGACAAACTATCGATAATAAATATATAACTTTGACATTCTATTTATTAATTACATCGATAGATTCTAAAGTATTAGTTCTAACGTTTCAAAATAAGCGCAAATATATTTTCAACCTATGTCACTTATTTATTTCATTTATTCTATTTCTTTCTTTTTTAATCGCAAAATCTTTCAATAAATTTCAATTCTATTTTGAACATTCTTTAAGGAACTAGTAAATTCCCACAAAAAAAAAAATAAAATAAAATCCTTAAGTTTCATTCGTTAGCTTCGATTCCTCAGGAATTACGTTTAATTTTCTAAAGAAAAAAAAAGGAAGAGAAAAAAAATTTTATCGTACGCTTAAAAAAAAACGACGAAATATTTTTTAAATATAAGAGAAAAAATTCTTCATTTTACCTTTCTTTTCTTTTTTTTTTTTATAATAACAATAACGTCGACAAGAACGAATTGTCATTATTGTTAACAATGAATTCTTATTGAAAACATCACTATTGCAATTTGCACTTAATGATTACACAGAAACATATAGAAACATATCTCTAACGAACGATTGATATAAATATTATCCAAAAAAGAAAGAAAAATGAGGAAAAAAGAAAAAAAAAGTAAACAAGAAAAAGAACCAACAACAACGACAACAACACGACATTTATTCGACTCGTTCGCATTGGCGACGTAGTCACGTAGTAGATCGCCCCTGATTTAAAGGCCCAAAAGGCCCAAGAGGTTCGCAAACAGTTCTTACCCTTCTCTCTCTGTCCTTCGCTCCAATACAACTACAACAACAACAAATAAGAAAAAAAAGAAAAAAGGGGAGGGGGAGGAAGAGCAGAAAAACGAAGGTCAATCGGGAATAACAAGTTCACTTAGTCTCAACGTTAAGACAACGATCTACGAATAAGATACTCGCGGAATTCATGATAACGTTATTAGGACGAGAATATATCGATTGAAACGAGAAAAAGAGTTATAAAGCACTTGGCGTTTGTTCGAGCTAGTTATTTCCAAAAAGCCGATGCATTAAAGCATGTGTGTTGTTCGTTCGGTTACAGATTTCTCGAACTTTGTCAATGAGAGAAAGATAGAGAGAGATGGATAAAGTAAAAAAAAATCGAAGAGAGAGAGAAACAGGTCCTTTGGGGCTTCGGATACAAATTCCAAGAGGTTTCTTCCACGAAAACATGTTATATACTATCGACTTTCTCTTTATGCATACACACAGACACAGATATAGATACATAGTATATGCCCGCCCCTTATCAGGTTAATCCCCCAACTAGGTTAGCCCCGCCCACACTGAGTTAGCCTCGCCCCCTGGGGTACTTGGCCCCGCCTACACTGAGTTAGCTACGCCCCCAAGGGTACTTGGCCACGCCCACAGAAAGTTAGCCACGCCCCCTGGCGTACTTGGCCCCGCCCATAGAGAGTTAGCCACGCCCCCTGGGGTACTTGGCCCCGCCTACACTGAGTTAGCCACGTCCCCTAGGGTACTTGGCCACGCCCACAGAGAGTTAGCCACGCCCCCCGGCGTACTTGGCCACGCCCACAGAGAGTTAGCCACGCCCCCCGGCGTACTTGGCCCCGCCCATAGAGAGTTAGCCACGCCCCCTGGGGTACTTGGCCCCGCCTACACTGAGTTAGCCACGCCCCCTAGGGTACTTGGCCACGCCCATAGAGAGTTAGTCACGCCCCCTAGGGTACTTGGCCACGCCCATAGAGAGTTAGTCACGCCCCCTAGGGTACTTGGCCACGCCCATAGAGAGTTAGTCACGCCCCCTAGGGTACTTGGCCACGCCCATAGAGAGTTAGCCACGCCCCCTAGGGTACTTGGCCACGCCCACAGAGAGTTAGCCACGCCCCCTGGCGTACTTGGCCCCGCCCCATGTTAGGGTTGCCTCGATCCCTGTGTATTTAGTCATTCTTTTTCTCTCCTTTTCAGTCTCTTGTAGTACAAAAGAAGTTCTTCTAAATTTCAGGTAGACTTTAAATAGCCGTATAAAAATTAAAATCATCGTTCGTCTCATCTTAAGGAATTATTTACGAACAGATTTTTCAATACGCACTTGCGCAAAAAGATACATAAAGCAATCATATTATAACGATTGAATTGGTAGGTATGATTTTATTATGAATAATATTTTGTTTTAAATACTGTATTAATTTCTTTTTTTTTCCGACATGTGTAAAAAAAGAGAGGGAAAAAAATATTTGTTCGATTTGAAATCGAATAAATATTTCATTGAAAAGCCTTACGTATCGTATTAGAAGGTTTATCCGAATAATTCGTGACTTCGTTTGAGCAACGATATTTCGATGAAACATTTATTATTCGTTTAAGAGTGATTATTGAAACAGAAGCTTTCCTCTTTTTTTTGTTTTCTTTTTTACTTTTTGTTTTTTTTTTAAATTTTTAAAAACAAAAAAGGAAATTATTTTTCGATGAAACACTTGAACGTGAATCATTGTAAAAATTATTATACAAATAAATGAAAATCCTTGAATTAAAAAGAATTAAAAAATATTTCTTTATAATATAAATATATATATATATAAATATATATATATATAAATATATATATATATATATGTATATATATATATCCAAGATCGATTCGTATTATAATTTATTATATATATTACATTATAATTTATTATAATATATATCAATTGATCAATTGATATTATAATTTAGTAAAAATATATATATATATATCGTATTATAATTAAATATATTTATATTTTATTGTTATATATATAGTATTATAATTAATTATATATATATATTTTATTATATATATATTGTATTATATATTATTTGTATATAGCGTTTGCTTTGGTAAAATTATTAAAAAAAGTGTAATTCGAAAAGAAAATGTAATTTGAAGTTAGGTGGGCCTTTCTTCGAGGGTGGGCCTTTAACGTTTTCTTTTTCGATCAATCTATTAGCTCTCTCTCTCTCTTTTTCTTCTTTTCTTTTCTTTTTAACAAAGCAAACCATTGTGAAAATACAGTTCTTATTCTCTCGTTATGTCGATCTCGCGTCGATTCTTACAAGAAAAGATGAGAATTGAAGAGAGGATCACATGGAATTAGATGGTGTCGGGATACCACCATCACCATCACCATCACCATCATTCTTACCATCACCCTCACCATCACAATCATTGTCACAATCGTTGTCTACTATAGTTATATGCGGTTGAATATAATACCTACTTCAGCTGGCGTAATCCAAGGATAATCTATGCTCTATGAATAATAGAACGACTAGAACGTGCAAATTTCAAGTGCGAAGAACGCTCCATTTACCAATACAAATAACCAACATAAGTAGTAATACCATTGGTTGGTTTGGTTCGTTGGTTAGTATTTATTAGTACTCGATGCGTACCTTTTTTTCTTTTTCATTCTCCGATCGTTTTGCGGATTTACGTCTTTTTCCTTCTTTTTTCCTTTTTTTTTTTGTTAGCTTCTTCCTTCCTTCCTTCCTTCTTTCCTTTTTTTTCCCCTACTCTCTGCACAATAATTTATGTGTGCGAAACGAAAGGTACGAATCGAATGGCATTGAAAAAATTTTGTTACTTCTGTGAATAGGAAAAAAGATTTTTTTTTTTTTTTTAATTTCTTTTTCTTTCGTACCAATTGACTTTCGATTTAACGATTATATGTAGAAATGAAATCTTTCCTTTTACATTGAATAATACGTACTTGTATTATTGATTTTTTTGGGAATTTTTATTATAGTGGAATAAATAATATATATTATTTTTTTTTTATATTTTTATTACAGATTTTTATTATAGATTTGTTTGAATATATAAAGAATAATTTATACATATATATATATATATATATATATATATATATATATACATATTAAAGTATATATTAAAAAAAAATATATAAATATATTATTTTATTATTTATATTAATATATATTTTATATATATATGTATATATATACACACACATACATATAGAAATATACACATACGCACACACGTATATATAAGAATAACTTAAAAAATTTTTAAGTGAACTTAACTCGTATTACTAATCTCTTCTATATTATATATTATATAGAATCTTAGATTATTCGTTGCAGGGTCGTTACATGAAAGCTACCGTCTTTCGTTCTTTCATTCTATGAATATCTCTCTCTCTCTCTCTCTCTCTCTATCTATATATTTATCTATCTCTCTTTCTCTTTCTCTCGATTGATGTCTCTTTTAGATAGGATTTACTTTGCTTCTACATGTAATACGATATTGAGTCTAGCAAAACTCGACTCTCTATCTCTCTATCTTTTTCATCATGAACAAGAAGAAGAAGAAGAAGAAGAAGAAGAAGAAGAAGAAGAAGAAGAAGTAGAAGAAGTAGAAGTAGAAGTAGAAGAATGAGAAGGAAAAAAAAACAGTGCAAAACCTTAAGGCCCCAGGACCTTTTCGTAGGGCTATATGAAATAGGTAACGGCCGTTGTATTTGCTCAATTTACAGTTACGTAATTCCATAATGAAGGGCCTACATTCCCCCTTCTCTTTTTTAGACCTCTCCCTTCTCCCTTCTCCCTTTTCCTCTTTGTCCTTTCTTTCTTCTTTCTTTCCTTTCTTCCTTTCTTTCGATCTTCTATCTATCTTTTACTATCTTTTTCTATCTATCTCTCTCTCTCTCTCTCTCTCTCTCTCTCTCTCTCTCTCTCTCTCTCTCTCTCTTTATCTCTCTCTCTCTCTCTCTCTCTCTTTCTCTCTTACGATTCTTTTTATAGTAACCAAAAATGTAGCGAGAGGCAAAACGAGAATACAATAGGATCAGGTGGGGTGGGGTGGGGGGTGAGAGGTTTGTAGGGAGGTGGAGGAAGAAACATCCAAAGGGATTTTGCGAGCGAATAGATCTTTAGAAAAAAAGGGACGACGCCGGTGTCACGTTTCGTACTTGTTTTTGTAAACAACGAATACAAAACGCCTAAAGAATCAGAAAATGCGCGCTCTTTTTTCAAAGCCAAATTCTCATAGAAAATTGAGATCCATAGAGTCACTTGTTCATTTCGACAAAAAAAAAATATATATATATATATATATTTATTTATTATTTTGTGAATAATTTAATATATAATTAATAATTAATAATTAATAATTGTAATAATTTTATATACTTTTAATTAAATTTATGTATAATTTTGTATGAATTGTTTTACGATATATACATTCGTACGAATGGGACAATAATTTTTTGCATTTTAATTTTGATTATCTTAAATAAAAATTATCTCCAAATTATCGATATATATATATATATATGTATATGTTTCTATTTTTTTTTGTTTATTATTTATAAATTATATAAATTATATAACGAATTAGGTCAAAAGTTTCTAGCCATTTAGTTTTATTATTTAAAAAAAAGAAAAGAAAAAAAAAGAGAGAAAGAAAAAACCAAAAAAGAAAAAAGAAAAAAGAAAAACAAAAGAATATAATAGAGAATAATTGAAAAAGTTTACTTGATTTTTTTTCCAATCATCTAGAAACATTTTAGCTCATTCTGCATATAACAAAGTTATAATAACTATACTTCGTCAATAATTATATCAATTAGAAAATTTAATAAATATAAAATTAATTATATAATATATAATTATTAATTAAGCAATTAATTGTATTACTCGATTAATGATTTTCAAAAAGTGAGGACCACTTAAAATGCAAAATATAAAATAAATACGAAAAATAGTGTATACGATGTTGGGGAAAAAAGAAATAAAAAAAAAAAGTACAAAATTATTTATAAAACTTTTTAAGATTTTAATTTGCTAATATTTTTTTTTCCTTCCATTTTTTCTTTTTTTTTCTTTTGGAATACACAAATCTCTTAACAAAAGCCTTGATTCGTTCTCGTGCCAAATTGAAAGGATCAAATAATTGTATCTGAAGGTAGGAGAGAGACAAAGAGAGAGAGAGACAGAGAGGGAGAGAGAGAGAGAGATGGAGAAGATAGAAAAAGAAGAAGGATTTTCTCTCTTCTCGAGAACAGAAGGATCGATGACGAACGCTTGCTTTGCCTCTTTTGGTTTAGTCAGCAGTTTGTTTTGTATCCATCCTGATGCTCCCTTTTGCATTTCGCTCACTTAAACTCGGCCAACTTAACTGCAATAGGTATGCCTTTTGTGTTTCGAGCCTAAAATAACACCTTTCATGGTAGCTCACGATTTTCTTTTTTCTCTTTTTTCTTTTCTTTCTTTTGCTTTTTCTTTTTTTCTCTTTTTTTTCCGGTTTCTTCCCTACCTCTTCACAAATCGAGAAGCATACGCTCGATCCTAATTTTCGTTTCAACGATCGCGCATTTCTGATTTGGAAAAATTTTTAACGATCATAATTATCGACTGATTTATTAGATATATTAATACGATTTATTGTTATTATTGAAAAATGAATGGAGACAATTTTTTTGTTTTTATCTTATATCCCTCTTTTTCTTTTTTTTTCTTTTTCTAACATTTACCGCTATTAGAATAAACAATCCATTATTCGCGAGCATGGAATCCTATAAATGTTGTTGTCCCGTGCTACGTTCGAATAAATTATCTTCTAGGCAATGCGGATAATCCAGTATAATAACAGCACGGGTGGGATTGTAGGGGTGAGGAGGAGAGGGTTATTGTTGAATACAACAAGCACCTAAGGCTGTTCGCCAACTATATAAACAATAAACTAAACTATGATCTAAACGTATTTAACTCTTTCTCTTTCTTTCTCTCTCTCTCTCTCTTTCTCTCTATGTGTGTATGTGTGCGCTTATGTATATATTTAATATATAATGTTTAATATATAATAAATATTATAAATAATATTTAATATTTAATTAATATGATAAATAATATTTAATATATAATTGA